AGAGCCCAATGTGGGGCTCGATCCCAGGACCCCGGGATCGTGACATGAGCTGAAGGCAGACGCGTAACTGACTGAGCCACCCAGGCACCAACCCCCCCGAAAATTTTTTTAATTGAAAATCACAGACACACAGAAAACTTTAGCCAAAAACTTCTATAATTGTGTTAATAAAGTTGTGTTATATTTGCCTCCCAAATATAAGTTTATATCAAAGGGTTGGTAATGCTTATTCAAATTAATCAGGCCCTAGAAAGTGGCACATCAAAAGGAAAGTTTTTAAGGAAGGAAGTGACTTGATTTGTTCTGTTTTAGGTGGAAGATAATCATTAATGTCTAAAAAGTACCTTTCTTTCTTATGCATAGGACACCATGAAGCTGCTACCAGTGTTGGAGCCTGGAGGCAAGCCCAGGAAAGCAACATGGTCTGTAAGGAAGGAGTCAGACAGAGAAAAGCATGAGTTTTGTTTCATTTTACATAGTTTACTAACATATTTGGTCATCTATGAAAAAGGGTAGGAATGAAACTGTCTGTAGTTGCTGGTAATTAGACTCAAACTGTCTGAAAGGGTCTTCAGAGGAAAGATAGTGGGGCAATAATTATCACAGAGAGATGTTGATTTTATTAAAATCCATTTGCTAGGAAGAGTAAGGCACTGACCATCTGGCATCCTCAGCTCCAACACTGTGTCTTCCCTCAAGCTGTGACTCACTTGTAAGATTTTCAGGGAAGTGGATTTGGATTAAACTGGCCTTACTGTTTCTCGGCCGCTGGCTCAACCAGCCCTTTATTCAGCTAACACTGGCCTGGCGGGCAGCTGCTATGTAGGTGCTGAAGGTACAAAGGTGAATAGTCTCGGCGTCACTTGGGCTGCACTGAGCGGGTGATGGTGAGGAATTGTGGTCAGTACTGAAACAGGGCTCACAGAAGGCTTCAGGGAGAAGGCAGTGCTTCTGTAGGACCTTGGAGGAGAGTCTTTCAGTTTGGCTTCCCGGTGTCCCCTCTTATTCTCCAGCCAACATAAATCTGATCCTGGCATTCCCTGGTTTAAAACCCTTTTGTGCCTCTCTGATTTTTTTTTTTTTAAGTTTTATTTATTAATTTGGGAGAGAGAGAGAGAGTGTGAGCACATGAGGAGGGGGGAAGGGGCAGAGGGAGAGGGAGAAGCAGGCTCCCCGCGGAGCAGGGAGCCCAACGCAGGGCTCAACCCCAGGACCCTGAGATCATCACCCAAGCCCAAGGCAGATGCTTAACCACCTGAGCCACCCAGGCACCCCTTGTGCTTCTTCGATCTTAAGATAAAAAGCAGAGTCCTTAAAATGGCCCATTGGACCTTGCATGATCTGTCCCTGCCTGTCTTTCCAACCTCAAGTACCCTAACTCATCCTTTGTTCTCTTTCTCTTCTTTAACATGCCTTCCACTGCAAACGCTGGTACTGTATGTGCTGGTCTCTACCTGGGGTCACTCTTTCCCTCCATCTTTCATCCCTCTCTTTGCCCCGCTAACTTCCACTCATACTTCAGAGCTCAGTTCAAATGATGTTTCTTCAGGAAGCCTTCTCTGACCGCCTCCTTCTCCCATCTCTCCTTATATAGGGTGAGGTCCCCTTATGATATGTTGTCATGCAATATTTCCCTTGTCCTCCTTTACAGCACAATTAAAATAAAATGGATATTTGTGAAATCATCCGTTTAATGTTTCTCTTCCCAACTAATCTGTAAGGGCTCTGAAGGCAGGAACTTTCTGTCTTATTCACCATGTATCTGGGTGGCTGTGTGCTCTTGGATAAGTTATTTAACCTTTCTAAGTCTTGGGCCCTCAGTTGTAAAAAGCAGGTGATGTTAACAGTACCGTCCTCAAAGGGGTTTTGTGCAGATTAAGGGAAACCAGGATTGTAACAAAGTTAGCAGCAGGCATGGTATGTTGTTAGTAATCATTCAGGTGATAATAGGATGTGTGAATCTGGTCATCAGAAGAGAGATCTGGAAAAGAAATAGAGACTTGGAAATCACTGATGAATATATAGGTGGGTGGTAACTGAAACAAACCATCAGTGCAGATGAACTTGATAGGGTAAGCGAACGTAGAGGAGGGAAGAGAAGCCAGGGGTACTGAGGCTCAGGAAACGGCTAGTGGGAGTGGAGTCAGAGCCAGGAAACAGAAAAGAGCAGCCAGAAAGATGGGTGGAGAACCAAAAGTAAGGGATGTGGGGAACCAGATAAGGAGAAAGGTATGAGAAGGAAGGAAGAGTCAGGACTACCAAATGCCAGAGAGGTCTAACGAGACAGGGTCTGAAACAGCTACAGAATTTTCTTTTCCAACCAGGAAGTTTGAAGTATGTTTTTAGAGTCAGTGTTCAGAATAACTTTAGAGAGTGGGATGGATGGATCCTATATTTGGTTTTTTCAGAGTCCTAGCTCTGGCTTCCATCAACTCAAGCATTATGAATAATCTGGGAAAGCTCTTAAAATCAATACATCCTGGAGAATATTACTTGACAGTGCCTCGCGGGCTAGTGGCTAAAGAGCGTTAGGACAGTAGATTCCTATGTGAGTGCACCTGAAGCTCTAGCCACCATTTACTGAGCTCTTCCTGCTCTGTTACAAGACCTTTTCTTACCCTTCACGGGTAAGAACTACTGCCATCCTCATTTTACAAACGAGGAAACTAAGGAAGGTTTAGAAAGGTTAAATGACTTCTGAAGGGTCACACATCTCGAAAGCATCTGACCTGGGGCTTGCGCCTGGTCTGCCTGAATTCACAAACCATACTCATGACTCCCATCTCGTGCCAGGACACACCACTGAACTTTTCTGGCTGTCAGTTTCCCTGCCCACCCAATGGAGACAGTTACTAGTCCAGTGCATCCCCATTAGTTTAATGTGAGACAAAAGTAGTGACAAAACTGAAAAGTCAAAGGTTATGTGCAAATGGAAGGTAGTGTTATTAATCGGGAAAACACCGCTTTGCTGGATACAACTTAGTGTGTATGTGTATGTATGAGAGCCCTCATTCTGGGGAGTATTTCATGAGGAGTGGAAAGAACACACCACTGCCCGGGTCTCCTGAATGCATCCTCCCTCTGGCAGGTACACCTTGACCCCCCCTGGAGACAGCCCCTGTGCTCGGGTTGGCCACAGCTGTTCATATTTACCCCCAGTCGGTGACGCCAAGAGAGGGAAGGTCTTCATTGTTGGGGGAGCAGATCCAAACAGGAGCTTCTCAGATGTGCACACCATGGATCTGGGTAAGACCAGCAGATGCGGGGCAGGTGCCTTGTAGCCAGAGAGCAGAGCTGGTGCTACTGGACATGAAGAGAGCATTCGTAAGAACACCAGTTCAGGCCAGAGAGCAGGGTTCTCCTCTAAGAAAATGAACATCACTGAGAAGTCCCTAAGGTCTCAGCAGACCTCTAGAACACATCCACCCAACCAATACCTTCTTTTTGGGGGCCACAGAGTCTGTTTAGAGCCCTGGACATCCAACCATTCCTTCATCAAATATTCCTCTGGGAGACAGAGGAAGAGACCTCCTCTTCTATCCACATATCCAATTAATCACCAAGTCCTAAGTCTCTCCATCTTCAACCTTGTCTGTCCATATTGCCTACTACCTCAGTCCAGGCATTATTGCTTCTCTATTAGACATTCCAACAGCCTCTTCTCTGGTCTCACTGCTTCCAAGTTTACCCCTGGATGATGCATTTTCTATACCTAGCCAGAGAGTATTGTCTAAAATACAAATCTGACCATGTCACTCCCATGTTTCAAGCCTTTCCCCACTCATTTCTTGGCTCTCCCAAACTCACATTTGCTACACTGAGTATCCTTCAGTTCCTTGGACATGTCTGAATTTCCTGTCTCCAAGCCTTTGTACATACTGCTCCGTCTGCTTGGAAGGCTCTTCCCTTTCCTTATCACCTGGCTACTATTCATCTTTCCAATCTCAGATTAATGATCACTTCCATTAGAAAGCTTTGCCTGATACTTCTGGACTAGTTTAAGCACTATCACTGGAAAGGAGAAACCATTCTGTGTTCCTTCTCTACTCGTACCTCTCGACACTAGTCTCAGTACTTCATTTCTGGCCCCCAAATGTCTGGGGATCTTTCCCCACACCAAGCAATTCTGCAGCACCTGCTGAGTGTCCTCCAACTCAATTCAGTTCTGACAAGATCCCCCAGGATTTAGCATCAGATCCCACAGGTGAAGGGCTCAGTCCTATACGACTCTCCCATCCCTTCCCTACTCCAGACACTACTCGAAAGTTCAGTTCGTTACCTGTGCTTCTGACCTACCAAGTATAAATCAGAGATTCCCATGATCCCCTCCTCGGGTTCCATTAATTTGCTGGAGTGGCTCACAGAACTTGGGAAAATAGTTTACTTACTAGATCACTGGTTTATTATAAAAGGATATAACTCAGGAACAGCCAGGTGGAAGAGATGCATAGGGCAAGGTATGGGGGAAGGGCACAGAGCTTCCATATCCTCCACAGGTACACCATCCTACCAGCACCTCCATGTGTTTACCAACCTGGATGCTTTCCAAACTCCTGGGTTTTTTTTGGAGGCTTCTTTACATAGGAATGATTGATTAAATTACTGGCCATTGGTGATTGATTCAACCTCTAGCCCCCCTACCCTTCCCAGAGGTGGGGGTGGGAGGCTGGGGCTGAAAGTCCCAACCTTCTGATCATATGGTTGGTTCCCCTGGCAACCAGCCTCCATCCTTAGGGCTTTCCAGAAGTCCCCCCATAAACATAAACCCAGGTATGCTTGACAGGAGCTTGTTACATAAGACACCTTTTTCAATCTTATAATTTGGGAAATTCCAAGGGTTTTAAGAGCTCTGTGCCTGGAACTGACAAAGATAACATATATATTTCTTAATATAAATCACAATGTCATAACCCGCCCTCTATATTTCCATAGTATTCTTCACTTTCCCATTCCCCTTCACAACCCTTATCACATGTGATTGTATCTTGTCTGTCTTCCCCACAAGAGTATAAGCTCCTTGGAAACAAGGAACATAGTTATATTATTCACCATTCATTGTATCCCCAGCCACTACCATAGTGGCTGGCACAGAGTATGCTTTTTAAAAAATTAAATTTTTTTTTAAGAGAGAGAGAGAGTGAGTGAGGGCACAAACAGAAGGGGGGGGGCAGAGAGAGAGGGCAAGAGAGATTCTTTAAGCAGGCTCTGTGCTCTGAGTGCAGAGCCCCACTTGGGGCCCAATTTCCTGTCCTTGAGATCATGACCTGAGCCAAAATCAAGAGTCAGATGGTTAACCCACTGAGCCACCTAGGTGCCCCCAGAGTAGGTGCTTTTTAAGTATTTGGGTGGATAGATTGATGGATGAATGAATGAATGAAGAAGGAATGAATAGTGACCACTCTGTGCTATACACAATGGGCTGAAGAAAACCAGTGGCCCACATATACGTTTTGTTGGGTCCATGTCACGTTGCTGTTACCGTTTTAATCTAAGTTGTTCACCAACTGAATGTGCAAGGGTCTACATATAAAAATGGAAATGGTTTGGCTTCTCCTGATAATTTTGGGAGATCTGACATCTTAGGCCTCCATGTCTACATGGCAACAGTAGAGATGCCGCTTCTCAGTGGGGTTCTCATCCCCCAATTTGCCACGTTCCCTCCTACATAGGCATTTGAATTTCTACACCCGGCAGTAGGAAATCAAAGGCAAGTGAAATCTCTTCCAGCCCTCAAGAAACTCACTGTCTAGTTCACGTACATCTTTGGTGGGACCTAGTACTAGCTTTGTGACCCTGGCTAACCTGTCTAAACCGTCTGGGCTTCAGTGTCCTGTAAAATGGGGATAATAGCTTACTCCCCTTGGTGTTTGTGAACCTGTTTGAGCCAGAAATTGTTTAGTTGCAGGTAATAGAAACTCTCTTAAACTGGAAAAAAAAAAAGGGGGAAGAATCCAAACATGGGAAACACAGCCTAGCCTCAGGAAAGAGCAGAAATACGAATTGGAAAGCCATCAGAAACCATCTACCTTCTCCCTCACTCTCTCTGGGGAGATCTGCTTCTTTTTTTTTTTTTTATTTTTTTATTCTTATGTTAATCCCCATACATTACATCATTAGTTCTAGATGAGAGATCTGCTTCTTTATGTAGATGTTTCTTTTCTCTTCTCCATACTTTGGCTTTAGCTGCTTCTCCACATATGATAGAAGAAATCCAGAAATCTGTTTGAATTCCAACTTCTCTGGAAGGAGGATCTGATTGACCCCTTTTGGGTCAAGTGACTACCTTTGACCCAATCAAAGCCAAGGTGTTGTAGTACAAATAGGTCTTCTGCGATCTCTACCCCCGGGGTTGGGAGAACGGGGACAGTTTCCCTAGAGGAGGGTTTCTGGACTAGGCAGACAGCCCCTGAAGTTCTATTATAGAACTTTTTAGAATTTGATCATATTCCCTGTTAGTGACCTGATGGTTGTTCACTTATGCCTTTGACCCTTTTCTCCTCACTACTGTCCCCTAAGGCTGTCAACTGATAGAAGCAATTGGCAGCTCCAATGCAGGGGCTGAGTGAAATGTCTTCTAGGAACACACCGGTGGGATTTGGCGGCCGCGGAGGGCCTTTTGCCCCGTTACGAGCATGCCAGCTTCATTCCCTCTTGTGCACCTCATACCATCTGGGTGTTTGGAGGTGCTGACCAGTCAGGAAATCGAAATTGCCTACAAGTTCTGAATCCTGGTAAGTAGCCAAAAGTTATTTTTATTTACCTAAATAAAGAAATAAATCCGATTCCATTTCCTGGAACAAAACTCATTTGGATTGTCCTGAATAATTCGTTTAACTTTGCTGACCTCATAGAAAATAAGAATTTTTATTTTTTATTTTTTTTAAGGATTTTATTTATTTGGGAGAGAAAGCGAGAGAGCACGAGAGGGGGAGAGGGCTAGAGAGAGAGAGGGAGAAGCAGACCCCCCTCAATGAGCAGGGAGCCCGATGTGGGGCTCAATCCCAGGACCCTGAGATCATGACCCGAGCCGAAGGCGGACGCTTAACTGACTAAGCCACCCAGGTGCCTGAAAATAGGAATTTTAACTTCTGGAAGAATACGAAAATAACAGAATTACATCCCCACCCCGCCCCCACCCCCTGCACCTCATAACATGTCCAATTATCAACTTCTTAAAACCCAAAGCTGGAAGAAACTTCAAAGAACAGCTATGCCAAGTGGGTGACCCAAGTCCAGGGGAAGTGAGTTTCCTAAAGTCACCAGGGAGTCAGTGACTAAACCAGCCTAGAACCTGTTACCTAGATCAGGGGGTCTCAAGTGGGGGCAATTGTGTCCCCCAGGGGACATTTGGCCACGTTTGGACACATTTTTGGTGATCAAGCTCGGGGCTTGGGGGGCTGCTACTGGCATCTAGTGGGCAGAGGCCAGAGATGCTGCTCTTCATCCTGTAAGACACAGGACAGCCCCCCATAATAGCGAATTATCTAGGCTCAAATGCCGGTAGTGCCAAAGTTAAGAAACTCTGACCTAGATCCTCCTTTTATGTTTCTTTTAGCCAAACAGTGCAAAGTTCCTGCCTAGTGTAACTGGCAGTTTTATCACAGACGAAGCAGTTTAGGAACAGCTCTCCTGAGAGGATGTTCCTGAACCACCATGGGAGGTGGATTTGTCTTTTTGCTAAAAATTGTAGTTAAAATTTTTTTTGTTGTTTTCTCTTTATAAACATAATTCATTGTAAAATATTTGAAAAGCGTAAAGTGGACAAAAGACATCCACGATCCTGTGACATTCAGGCTACTGATAACCTCTCTGTATACTTCCTTTCTTTTATTTCTCTGCATTTCTGTAAGTCTGAGTTCATACTATTTCACTCCTACACTATTGTACCTTTTTCCTTTGAATTTCATAATTACTGTAGAAATGGTTTCCTATTAACTTTGCTTTAACATCACTTTTAGTGGCTGCATGATAGTCCATTTTGTGATAATACCATAATTTAGTTTGTTTTCAGATTTTTGCCATTATAAATAACAAAAGTGTGAACGTCTTTGTTCAGAAGTCTTTGACAATTATTTGCTTAGAATTCATGCCCAGAACTAAAAAACTTTTGCTACATGCTACCCAATTGCTCTCCAGAATTTTCCAACTGCTCTCTTCAGCTATGATCAGTAGTGAATTTTCACTCCTGACTGGCACTGAATTTATCTTTTTTTAAAATATTTTATTTATTAATTTTTTTTTCAAGATTTTATTTATTTATTTGAGACAGACAGAATGAGAGGGAGGAGGGTCAGAGGGAGAAGCAGACTCCCTGCCGAGCAGGGAGC